TTTAGATTTAATCAGCGCGATTTACTTCAATGTCAGAACCAGAACAAAAGTGGATGTTACTTACTTGTTCAGATGACATTTTCTGGTGAAAATTGATGTTAGTCATACTTCCAAAAATAATAATCTGTGATTCTGAATGCTAGTATCGACACCAGCGCGGTGATTCACAGCTGCACACTCTCCTCAATGTGTTCATCCGGCTGTGCCGTGTCGAACTACAACTCACGTAAAGTTGATAATTCCGCGAATGACTGCAATTGCAGATTTCGAACAGAGATGGCGACAAAGAGGAAAAACTGCGGACTGCAGCTTTATTAAATAAATTTCGCCAAATGTGCTATCAAGAATTTGCGTCATATATTTGAATGATATTGGTAGGGCTGGGTATCGTAACAAAATTTTCGATACCGATACCTTGACTTCGATACCGGTTCCTGTACGATACTTTTTTTTGATACCAATTTTAGGAAATCCGTTTTTAACAATATTACATTACCTAAAAAAAATTTCTTCAGTTTGTTGACTTTTTTACACTCATATTTTGAGTCTGTAAAAAAAGCACCAATGCTAAAGTTTTCTATGTTTCCTAATCATTTAACAATATGTATTCTATACCCCAATGAGCTCATTGTTTCTGCCTTAACTTAATGGATTGTTTAACAATGAAACTGAATGAAAATGAATTGAAATGCATTACACACAGTCACCTCTGATAACAGATCACTCTAAATTGTAATTTAGACACATGCATTTTCTGTAAAGCTGCTTTGAAACGATATGTTTTGTGAAAAATGCTATACAAATAAATGTGAATTGAATTAAATATAGGCTAATAGGGTGCGGGATATATGCCTCACGCAGCACACATAAAGCTTGCCGCAAAGCACTGGCGAAAGCAGCCTAATGATTATGGATGTGTCGGGAAAAAATAGCAAGGAGATATTTAAATTTATTATTAATAAACAAGTGTTTACTGAGTGTGTTGGCTGCAAAGAATATGGCGATGTTGACTCGTCATTCCTGCATGAACACGCACGTGCGCCCATATGGATTACATAATCAAACTATTTATTTCGTTTAAAAGTAGACATATTTTAACCGTCAAGGCCTATTTCTCAGTATCCTATACGCTGAGTTTCGGTTCATTTGTGACGCGCTCCAGTTCTTGCAGTCGAAGACGGATAAACTTTCTACTCTCAAGTGTATTCTGTGCGCTTTTAAGTGTCTTCAGATTTATCGTGTTGCCGGTCTTGGCAGCAATTATCTTGTCGAAAATATTGCATCGAGTGTGGTACATAAGTAGGTAAACTTTTGATCTTTTCCACATATTTTCTATCTATCTGGGTTGGGGCGGTTGGGCCGCTCCTTACAGTCTATGGGCCGCTCACACACACACACTACAGCCTCACGTGCGACGAGCCGCGTCTCTCTGGGGAACCGCGTAAACTAACGTTAGTGTTTTTCCGCCACAGCCAATCATGCTGCATGATTTTTGTTTCACTGACGTTGACTAGATTAACCCCTTAGGTATTGAAAAACAAGACATGTTTTGATACTCGGTAGTATCGAGGCAATTCGGTCGGTACCTAAAAAGTATCGAACTCGATACCCAACCCTAGATATTGGTCACCTTGCTCTGTAAATACAGGTATCAGACATTGGAAAACCCTATATTGGCAACCACTAGTGTTTATAAGCTTTATTGATTTCTAATCGGATTTGACTAAATTATGCTGTGAACTCTCACACATACATTTGACCATTTTTGTTGTTGTTCCCCTTTGACCCAGTTGGCTCCCCAGTCAGTTTGCAACCGTCTAAATCTCTGTCCTTCACAGTCACTGGTTGAACTTTGTGTTTTGTGACATTCTGTGATGAAAGATCAGACTACAATAAAACCTCAATGTTAGGCAAGATAGTGTGATTGCTCTTATACTGCCGTTCAATAGCAAAGTTCACATTTGACTACACATCCAAAGTAGTGAAGCAGAACTAACTGTTGTTTAATTAAAATGTTAAATGTGATCCCTCACACATGTTTGCTTGTTCCCTCAGATCCATGAGACGATCGAAACTATTAACCAGCTGAAGACTCAAAGGGAGTTCATGTTGAGCTTCGCACGAGACCCGCAGGGCTTCATCAATGACTGGCTCCAGTCGCAGTGCAGAGACTTGAAGGTGAGACCAAATACTGTGCACTTCATATTACCATACTTTTTTGGTCCTGGTAGTATGATAATACCATGCTTTTGTGGACATGTGAAGTTGGAAGGTCCAATTTATTTCATACATCCTGCAGGGTTCATAAATGTTAAATTTGCTATTCGGAAGAGATTGTTTAACCTTCGCTCGGAGCTGTAGTCTTTCTCCATCTGTATGTTTGCTCAGCTGAGTGTTGGTTAGTGGACTGACTGGACTTGTAATGACTTTGGGGGTTGGGAAGGTGTCACAGAGGCAAATGTATGGGATGCTGAATTTCTAAATGGCTAGGGAAACTAAAGCTTGCATCCGTTTTCTCAAGCGCGATTTATCAGTCTAAACATGTACCATCTGTTGGAAAGCAGTTGCATTGTATTTCCTTGCGATTGAATATTGAGACAAGTTTTTGAAAGTTGGTTGCTCCAGACAAAAGTCATTAATCAATAACCGCTGCATCTTATTCTGCTGATGTCTGAATTCTGTGTCCTTGCAGACGATGACGGATGTGGTAGGAAACCCGGAGGAGGAGAGGAGAGCAGAGTTCTACTTCCAGCCTTGGGCTCAAGAGGCCGTGTGCCGTTATTTCTATTCAAAGGTGACGCTTTACAATGCAGTTCTCCTATTTAGCCACTGTGAAATATTGTTTGAAATCTCCAAGGTTACATGAAAAATCACTCTCCTTTTATTGACATTTCTCACATTATCTCGTTCTCACAGGTTCAGCAAAGGAGACAGGAGCTGGAACAGGCTCTTGGCATTCGAAACACATAAGCAAGCTTCCGGCTGCTACGACACAGGACCGGAGGGGTTTCTGGGTAGTGAATTTCCTGCTGCTCTGTACTGCAGATGCTGATCACTACAGTTATATTACAGTTTATCGTGTGCTGTCCTGCTGTAGCTGCCCAGGAATGACCCCTCGTACAGAAATGACCTTATTTTTGTTGTGACTCCGCCAAACTAACACCCCTTGAAATTGTGCTGTCACCCTTGTTTTAACCTGATTCGAGCTTCCGCAACTGTACATTTTCAAAGTGATTTTGAAATGCTGTCATTTTGGAAAATGTAGTTTTCTGACCAAACTGACAGACTTTGTTGGATATTTTTATTAATAACAAAACCAAGTTCCAACCAGAAGTCATACGAATGCTCTTAGACGTGCTAATGTTTGAGCTCATTTTCCGCTGTCCTTATTAGCAAATCAACAACAGTTACTTTTTGGAGGGGTCGTTGTTTGTTATTTTCAAAATTATCGATATTGTCTTTGATTATTTTAATGTTCTCATAATATGAACTTAATGAAGATCTAGTCTAGTTAAGCATAGATGACGGATTATGTAGTTTAGTACCTCAGCTTTGTGAATTATTCGGAGGAAGTTCCTTGAACATGTCTGTTGGCGTTGAAGGCGAGAGCTCACTGATTAACGTTTTCTGCAATGCTCAGTAAGTAAGACTTTTTCAGAACTCATCTGTTCAATAGTCGTTTTAGATTCACAAGATTAGATGTACTGCTGATTGACCTGTATGATTATAGATCTTTCGGTCACAAGCTTCGTCCTGAACTGTAAAGTACTTCCACTCCATACTCTCTGTGATATGTATTAATATATTTGGAGAATTGCCTTTATGGTTTAATGGTTGATTTGATTAATTTTTATAATTATAGTTGACTTGTCAGTCTGAAAGAACAACATGACAAACCTGCCAATGCAAGTACTTACTGGCCATGGCAACCCACATAACATGTCTGGGAAAACTGTCAAGTGTTTTAATATTTCATAGATGCGCTGCAAATAGGCCATGGGTTCTTCCACTCAAGTAATTCAAAGCGTTTAGAAGTCAAGTGCTAAAGACTTTAACATTTTTGGTAGTTTAAGTTTTAACTATTTTGTTGTTTTTCCTAAAGTCATGCATTTGCTTTGATTTTATATCTTTACAATCTTGTTTTTCATTATTTTCTTTAATGGACCAAATGTTGTATTTCTCTATTAGCCATATGTGTTATAATAAAGATTATCTTGTATTGATGCTCACATCAGTGTCAAGTGTAATTCGCTGCACTCTCAATTTCCTGAGGTGATAAATAAAACTGATTGCGACATGATGCAATATACGAAATCTAATATGATTTATAATGTAGGTCATTTTCTTTTGAGCTCTTTTGGTACCTAACACTAAAGACCTTTTGATTTAACAAATTGTGATGTTATTCAGCTAAAGTAAATCAATTACTAAAATGGTCTGTAAATTTCATCTGTCGACGTTAGTCAAACTTTTATTGCTATATCCACTGAGGAACTTTTGGCGCCCCTAAATCTTAAATTTCGGAAACATTTCACCACAAACATGTCCAATACAGTTTTTAAAAGGAAACATTTCTATTTTGTCTATAAAATACAGCAGTTATTAATGATAATATGCCTACTTGCGTCTCGTCAAAATGTTGCTGTGTTTCCTCAGGAGTCTCGCGAGGCGCGAGTGTGTTTTGTGCGAATTACACGAGGTCACGTATTTAATCGAGTTTTGAGATTACGAAAATGTTTATAAACGCTGTTGACACGTTTCTTGTGTAATAGATAATTAGCTTAACCTTTGCAGTTTCAAGTCTTATCCAGGTTTTAACCTTAACCTGATTTAAAAATAATATTAATAATTCCCAATACGATTGATAATGGTTTATAATAATAATAAATCATCGGATCATTTGGTCAGTAGTCTGTACTGCCTTGATGTATAAAAAACGAGCCAATGCGCGTTAAGGGGAGTGAGGCGCGTTCACGGGATATTTAAAAGCGCGCCCACAGGATTCGCTCCGGTCCGTCAGCGGCTCTCAAACACACCGAAGTCCTTCAGCCGGGGCAGACGCGCAGAATGGCGGCCAAGAAACTCTGCATTATCGGGTCCGGCAACTGGTGCGTGACATTTACACTACTGCTTGATTGTTCTACACCGTCTTTTGCTGTTTCGTGTTTTACAGTAATAATGCAAACCTGGGGGTATTTCTGGCTGAAGTATATTTGTAAGCAACCTGTTTTAAGGCAGAATTTATTTCTATTTTAGAAAGTTTATTAAATGCGGTAGGGCTACCCTCAGCGGATATTAAGTGTAAACCAGGAATATTTAACGTAATATTTCAATAATATCATTACCAGAGAGGTTATGTTGGACATAGATTTTTTCGAATTATATAATAATTTGTATATAGACTATAATGTATACATTACAATATGCATTATTAGGCTTGCTGTAGTTGCTGAGGCAATATTTGCTGAGTAATGATTGACCCAGGTGTCCAGTAGCTAATCCAAAAGAAAGGGCTGCAGTTTTTTTATTTTCTTTCTGACCCATAACTCAGCCTGTTGGCCTTGCATACTGAAGCAAAGCTATCATTTCACTGGATTATTATTATCCATAATTAGTATCTTGATTTTCATGCTTCCAGTGCTAGTTTTTCTTTTTAACTATTGCAGCCACAAATTAAAATGTTTGTAATGGTATTACTATAATAGTAGTTCCCCAAAACCAATGATAAATAATACAATAATGTTTACCACTTCAGCACCTGACACCTGTTGCAACAAAGTCAAAAGCCGTTGTGTGAGAATGTGTCACAGTAATTCTTCTGTTAATGAATCCCTCAGTAGACGTGCAGCTGTCATTACTGATCCAGCATCAGTATTAAGTGCTAGCTTATCCATTACAGTTTATCTCTAATGTTAAAGCAAAGGTCTTTCATTTCCTCAGGGGTTCTGCCATTGCCAAGATAGTGGGTGCCAATGCAGCAAAATACAACACGTTTGACAGCACGGTGAACATGTGGGTGTTTGAGGAGATGATCGACGGACGCAAACTTACCGAAATCATCAACACCGAACACGAGAACGTCAAATACCTGCCCGGACACAAGCTGCCACCCAATGTGGTGAGAACGCAAAGCATCTCCAAAAATCCTTGCCATTTACATTTCAACAATGATTGGTGGATAATTTAGTAGGCCTACTTCACTGGAAATTTGGCAATTATTCAGTGAAGTTATGATATGAAAAGGAGCGTCTCCTTACAACATACTTGAAACTAATGGAGAAAAAAAGCACAAAAGTAGTCTTTGATGAAGAAAAGTTTAATAAACCTAGTGATAAATTCTTCAGGTTGCGGTTCCAGAGCTGTTGGACGCAGTCAGGGGCGCAGATATCCTTATCTTTGTCATCCCACACCAGTTTGTGTCCCGAATCTGTGACACCATCAAGGGTCACATCAAGACAGACGCTGTGGGAATGTCCCTCATTAAGGTGAGTTTTCTTATATGCATTTCTTACTTTATGAAGTTTAGTTTGAGTTTGTATATGGACCTACAGCACTGCTATATCACTGTGTGTGTTTCGTAAGGGTGTGGATGAGGGTCCTGACGGACTGAAACTGATCTCTGATGTCATTAGGGAAAAGCTAGGCATCACCATGACCGTGCTGATGGGAGCCAATCTGGCCAATGAGGTCGCTGAGGAGAAATTCTGTGAAACTACCATCGGTAAGTACACAGAAATGGAAGCATTGACGGTAGCTCTTACGCTGTTAATAATATAGGTATTCATTTTTTTTCTTGATTATTGAATATTGAAATGTTGTATGTAACATGTAAGACATGGAAAGGGACATGGAGAGGGAAAAAATACAAGATGGGAGGAAAAATTTAGTTCTCTCGCAGATGTTTTGGGTTCCCCCAAGAAACTTTGCGTTTACTTGAAAAGAACACAAAAGTTTCTCGGGGAAACACAAAAGATTGCAAGGGAACGCAAAGGCTTTTTGCGAATGAACGCAAAGTTTCTCAGGAGAACACAAAGGTTTTGTGAGCGAACACAAAGTTTCTCGGAGGAATGTAAAGGAACGCAAAGTTTCTCGGAGGAACTCAAAGGTTTTGTGAGCGAACACAAAGTTTCTCGGAGGAATGTAAAGGAACGCAAAGTTTCTCGGAGGAACTCAAAGGTTTTGTGAGCGAACCTAAAGTTTTTCAAAGGGGAAGAAAGTTTCTCGGAGGAACACAAAGGTTTTGCGAGGGAACTAAAATTTTCTCCAGGGAACGCAAAGGTTTTGGGAGGGAACGCAAAGTTTCTCGGGGGAACGCAAAGGTTTTGCGAGGGAACGCAAAGTTTCTCGGGGGAAAGCAAAGTTTCTCGGGGGAACGCAAAGTTTCTCGGGGGAACACAAAGGTTTTGCGAGGGAACGCAAAGTTTCTCGGGGGAACGCAAAGGTTTTGCGAGGGAACGCAAAGTTTCTCGGGGGAACGCAAAGGTTTTGCGAGGGAACGCAAAGTTTCTCGGGGGAACGCAAAGTTTGGGGGAACGCAAAGTTTGGGGGAACGCAAAGTTTCTCGGGGGAACGCAAAGGTTTTGCGAGGGAACGCAAAGTTTCTCGGGGGAACGCAAAGTTTCTCGGGGGAACGCAAAGTTTCTCGGGGGAACGCAATAGTTTTGCGAGGGAACGCAAAGTTTCTCGGGGGAACGCAAAGGTTTTGCGAGGGAACGCAAAGTTTCTCGGGGGAACGCAAAGGTTTTGCGAGGGAACGCAAAGTTTCTCGGGGGAACGCAAAGTTTCTCGGGGGAACGCAAAGTTTCTCGGGGGAACGCAAAGTTTCTCGGGGGAACGCAAAGGTTTTGCGAGGGAACGCAAAGTTTCTCGGGGGAACGCAAAGGTTTTGCGAGGGAACGCAAAGTTTCTCGGGGGAACGCAAAGGTTTTGCGAGGGAACACAAAGTTTCTCGAGGGAACGCAAAGTTTCTCGGGGGAACGCAAAGGTTTTGCGAGGGAACGCAAAGTTTCTCGGGGGAACGCAAAGGTTTTGCGAGGGAACGCAAAGTTTCTCGGGGGAACGCAAAGGTTTTGCGAGGGAACGCAAAGTTTCTCGGGGGAACGCAAAGTTTGGGGGAACGCAAAGTTTCTCGGGGGAACGCAAAGTTTCTCGGGGGAACGCAAAGGTTTTGCGAGGGAACGCAAAGTTTCTCGGGGGAACGCAAAGTTTCTCGGGGGAACGCAAAGGTTTTGCGAGGGAACACAAAGTTTCTCGGGGGAACGCAAAGGTTTTGCGAGGGAACGCAAAGTTTCTCGGGGGAACGCAAAGGTTTTGCGAGGGAACGCAAAGTTTCTCGGGGGAACGCAAAGGTTTTGCGAGGGAACTATAATATCATGTCACTTTAGGGGCTCCATAAATATGGACATATGAAATGTTGGATACAATTTCGACCAGATATTTTTATTTCAAAACATTTTATATACAAACATATGTGTTTTAGTCTAGATAGACATTTAAAATTGACAATCATTCACATTTTACAGATTTTCCTCATTACCATGACAAGACCCAAAAATGTTGCTGTAATGCCTTTTAAATATCTTAAAATAAACTTCTGAAGACTAAAATAGTTTTTAATGTCATTACAAACATCGTTTAACAGTTTGGGTTAAACATGAGTTCTAAATGCACTTCCATTCAAAAAAAAAGTTTACTTTTTTTAAACACAATTTTATTCATTAAACGGATGGTGGAGTATGATTTCACTTTTCTAACTTTAATTAGTGTGTAATGTTGCTGTTTGAGCATAAACAACATCTGCAAAGTTACAACGTTAAAAGCAAAGGGAGATATTTGCTTTTAAAGAAATCATTTTTTAAGGACTACAACAAACAGCTGGTTGGAACTACACGAGCTTCCTCCCGGGTTAGTGACATCACCAACCCTAAACTTTACATAAACCCCGCCCCCGGGAACACGCAGTCCATGTTGAGAAGAGGAAGAGCTGTTGTAGTCCAGCACATTTGTGAGTCAGCTCAAACTGTAGCATCCGTCTTTTCACATGCAATAGAAAGTCACTTTGTGTGCATCTCACAACAGTTCCTAAACAAGCGATTTATAGATTATCCTGACAGAATATGCTAACTGAAAATAGTTAACTCCACATCAGCAACATAAATTCATCAACTAACCATTCAGAGACGCCCTGTTGCATTCTACGTGTTGTCACTTTTCTCGAGTCTCTCCATCTTTGTCAGAAACTGTTCTGCCATTTATGTTTAAATGGAGTCAGTAATTTTTAGTGTGTCTGCGTGACGTAATCGGAGCTACTAACACACACACTAGCTCTTGAAACTCCGCCCCCTGTGTCGGGAGCAGCAGCTCATTTGCATTTAAAGGGCCAGACACAAAACGGTGCGTTTTTGCTAACCCTCATAAAGTGACAACTTTAACATGCTATATAAAAATATCTGTGGGGTATTTTGAGCTAAAACTTCAAACACACACTCTGGGGACATCAGAGATTTATTTTACATCTTGCAAAAAAGGGCATTGTACCACCCCTTTAAGGATTAAACTGATAGCATATTGTGTTATGGTAATGATAGAGAAGGACAATGCGCCCAAATATGGTACTATAACTGTAGTATATATGTAATCAGCCACTTTTTTAAAATAAATAATAATAATCTTGTTCTCAGGGTGTAAAAGCAAAGCTCACGGGCCCCTGCTGAAGGAACTGATGCAAACACAGAACTTCCGTGTGACGGTGGTGGAGGAGGCTGATGTTGTGGAGATCTGTGGAGCGTTAAAGGTAAACGTTCAACCATCCCATCTATTACTGTTCCTGAAGCATTTAGCCACATTAAACTCAAGTAATGATTGTGTTTTACTGATGTGCGTTTATTGTAGAACATTGTAGCTGTGGGCGCTGGTTTCTGTGACGGTCTGGACTTCGGTGACAACACCAAGGCCGCTGTGATCCGCCTGGGTTTGATGGAGATGATTGCCTTCGCTCGGTTGTTCTGCACAGCCAGTCCGGTTTCTCCCGCCACGTTTCTGGAGAGCTGCGGCGTCGCCGACCTCATCACCACCTGCTACGGGGGACGCAACCGCAAAATCGGAGCAGCGTTCGCTAAAACGGGAAAAGTATGTTCGATCCTCAGGTTTAAATGTTACCTTACTGTTCATTTGAATCATTAAATATTTCTGTTGGTTGTCAGTCTATCGAGGAGCTTGAGAAGGAAATGCTGAACGGACAGAAACTTCAAGGTCCGGCAACCGCAGCAGAAGTTCATCGGATCCTCAAACACAAAAACCTAGTGGAAAAGTAACTATACTTAGGTTTTTCACAGTATAGAAAACATTTCTGTCTCTTTTTTGATTGTTGTTCGGTTTCTCTACAGGTTTCCCCTGTTTAATGCGGTTTATCAGATCTGTTACCACAGTCATCCGGTCAAAGAGTTCATCACCTGCCTACAGAATCATCCAGAACACATGTAAATCTCCATTATGGCTGTTTTAGTTGTGTCTTAACACCAAAAGAGTGTCTAAATGTTGTAAATTATCAGTAGATAACATTTTATTTTGGGTAAAAAGCATTGTAAAGGAAGTTTGTCCTGTTTTAAAGTCCTACACTCTCGCAAAGTATTTTTTTAACATTTCTTATTCTGTAATTTTGCAGCCAATAATGAGGAAGTGCCTTAAATGCTGAGCCCTCAAAAAAATAAAACTGAAAAAAAGAAAAAATTCATGTAAGAAGTGCCATAAAAACATATTTCATTGTAAATTCTTGCATCTCGAAGCAAGTGAGAAATTATGTGAGTTTGCTATCAAAAATGACCAAGGATGAAGCTAACATTGAATCCCTCAGTCCAGTGTGTCTCTGTACATTGATATCTCTCTCTAACACACACACACACACAAACACATGGATGAATGTGACCTTTACTTTCTAAACTCTCTCTCTGACGCACTACATGTTCACCTTTAACATTTTAGGGGTTCAACCTTTGACCTTTACTTGAGAGCAAGCAACTCCTTAAAGAAACAGAACGCTGATTTTATTTTTTGATCTTTTCAAACTGCACTGCAGAACAGATCTTATATTTACTGTACAACAGATATTAAAGAAAAGTATGTCTTGCGTGATTCTACTGTTTTGATTTGTTGTTAGAACCTTATCAGGTCCTTTTTTAAAACTTTCTTTTCATATTCCAGATGTGAAAGGTCAGTCTTAGGTTTGGCAATGTTATTTATTGGTTATTATTATTGTTTCTCAAGCGGTTCCTCTGTGAGAACAGCAGAATCTATTTATATTGAACCCTTCAGTAAAACTAGCGCTATTTTTGGAAAGGTGATTTTCTACTTTGGACACTAGAGAGCGATGATGTGCTTCTCGAAATGTGTGCAATGCACTTTAATATTCAGTTCAATTCTTTAAGTGACACTTTACACTGGAAAGGTGGCACAGAAGCACTTCTGAAGTGGCACTTGATGCTGCTCACATGTGGCATAAATTTGCATTTACACATTAAATAACTGCTTACTTTTTGATATTAGGGGCTGGCACAGAGCAGCCTTAACTTAGCGGTCAAAGGTTTAAACATTGTAACACTACATTTTACTAGCATAACATTTTGTTCTGCTGAAGATGACCATTTCTCATAATAACATCTGATCTGATGTAAATTCATCTATTTCATAATCTGTTTTTTATTTATTTAAGGAATCCAAAGTGCAGGAGATGTGATTTTTAGAAAAAAAATGTTCATAATCTAAATAAATGTTGTTTTTCAGACAGAAAGTGGAGAAAGAGCATGATAATCCACAGTTCTCTCATGTTGATTATTTTCAGCAACGAGTTTTCAAAATGTTTATTTGTTTAGTGTGGTTTGATTCAATAGTCATTGGACAGAAACACCAATAATAACGGACTCTTCAAGAGGACTCTTCGTACTGTTTAGTTTCTTATAAAAATTGTGTTTTATAACATTATACAATTTTAAAGACTTTATAATATTTATGTATTATTATCATAATTATATTTATTTACCATAGGCTGTTAAGGTGTAGGATCAGGATGTAACTTTTAATATTATATATTTTTAATCACCAAAGCAGATCTTCACAGGTTAGAAAATACAAATGACTCGCAAATAAACCAAATCATTTAAAAACAAAAATTGCAACTTTATTTCGAGAGCAAAAGTCAAATAATGTTTATTTCGACTGTCCTCTTTACACAGTAGGCTAAACTACTACTAACTCATTAGTTTTAAACTACACGTCAACTAATAATTCGGTGAGGTTAGGGTTAGTAGTATAAGTTGACGTGTACTTGCAAAGGTAGTAATAGTAGAATGTTTAAAGTGGACTATTGAGATAACCATACACTTCTTAATACTTGCCCATAGTTCAAGTTGTCAACTGCAAAATTGCATATCACAATAAGAGACAATACTTTTGCATTGAAAATGACTAATTTATGACTAATCATCCCAATTGATGAAAAAATGACTAATCATCAGGCAGATCATGGAAATGGGGGGGGTGTCATTAATAATATTATTATTAGTGTTTATGTTGTTATTAATAATTGCTCAGACTTGCAGAAGAAAAAATTTGACACGTCACTGACAATTCAACCAAATACAAAGTATTTATTCAATTTCCGTGTGAGAGAGAGAGAGAGAGAGAGAGAGAGAGAGAGAGAGAGAGAGAGAGAGAGAGAGAGAGAGAGAGAGAGAGAGAGAGAGAGAGAGAGAGAGAGAGAGAGAGAGAGAGAGAGAGAGAGAGAGAGAGAGAGATTATGACTGGTGTTGTTTATTGTAAGTGTTTGTTGCCTTTCTGGACTCCGTTATCTAATGGGCCTACCCCTTTCGCCCCCCTCTCTGGGCCAGCATCCTCTTACCTGGCCTTTTTAGGGGGCTTTCCTCTCAGGGCGAATGAGAGGATGCTTAATTGCTTTTTACCTGACATCTTTGAAAGAAATATGCAATAATTAATGCATCCATGGCCAGGATATAATTATAAAATATGACATGATTTTAAGAGTCAACTATAACATCAACTATGCAACACATTAATTTATTTAGTGCTAATAAAATTATTAAGCCTATTTGGAGAGAGAGATGTTTATAATGTGACAATATGTCAGTCATTGTGTGATAAGGAAAATATGACTAGACCTAGGCTACTTGTTCTGAGCAGGTGTTGTCAGTGAACAGGCTGTAAAACTGTTGGCTAAGTTACAGACACTCATGAAAAACTGATGCTAATTATCTGGGAATCATTCTCTAACAGCAGTCAAGTTGTCATTGTTTGTGTCCAACAAGTTGTGAATTTGTTGTAACATTAAAACAGGAGATCATGACTTACTCTGTGCTCAAGTGATGCTCAGAGCTCCAGTGGTTTCCTCTGTGGGTGAACGAAACTTTCAGAAGATGTTGTAGCAGAATCACGTGAACAATTCCAGGATATACTTTTTTGTCATTGGTTGTTGCACTAAATCTTACCCAGATACAATAGTGCTCTTTTCTGATTGTCTATTGTGAAGCGCCTTTATTTTTTTGGATTGGGCAGCCTCGACTAAGAACTCCAGGGGAAACGTGCTTGATTCCTGTCGGTTCCATAGTGAGAGCGGCGGCCAGATATATTTTGGGCGTGCAGGCATATTAAATATATTATAAATATTTTTTTCCCGCGTGAGAAATACAATGTGTGGCGGGAGTGCGTGACAAAAGACCGAAATGAGTGACTGTCACTCTCAATGCGTGACACTTGAGAGCCCTGGTTAAACTGTAATCATAGCCGCGACCATAGACGGCCGCGACCCGCGAGAATGAGACAGATGATTGACAGGATGATAGCAGAGGCAATTAAAGGGGCAAGATAACTTCTGTTAACAAAAAAAAAGTGTTTAATATAAGTGACTTTGTCTTTGTTTTATTGTTTTCAATAAAATAATAGTGAACGGTTGACCACAAACTGAGCCTTCGTTTTAAAGGGCAATTTCCAAATATCTTTTATTTATTTGTTATAATATGGGTATTTTGGGTCACCCGTCTTATTAATAGTATATTTGGTAATAAAAAGTTGTTGTTGTTGTTTTTTTATTGTGTTTTCATTAAAAATATAGGCCTATCATTACAACTTATAAAGATCAAAATCTACAGAAGACATTAACAAATAACACTGGTGTTGTCATAAGTTAATCAGTAGGAAAATTTCCTCACCGGCATAACGGCCTACTTAATGTTGGCTACATGTTACAGTAAATTAAATTAAGTTGGTCCAACTCAATAAGTAATATTTAGAATTAAAAATGACCAAAATTGAGTTAGCCCAACTCAATTTAAATTGTTCAAAATTAAGTTGGCCCAACTCAATAATTAATATTTAGAATAAAAAAGTTACTAGGGCTGACTTCTAATAGTCGAGGATTCGACGATTCGATTCGGAGAGGTCTGATTCGACTATGAACCTCATAGTCGAATAGTAGGCAAGTGTTATGAGGGGTGTGACGTTATTATATAACCGTGAGACCGACGGTTATAGTTGAACACCGTCATTAGAACTCTATAACCGCCAAAACCGTGCTATTAAAATATGTTTTACAAACATTTTTTATCATAGAGAATGTTTAAATACTAATATCATCTTACGAGGGAAACGGAGGCGGAGTTAGTGGTGCGATCGGAGGCTGCTACTGCTGGAGATGATCCGGGAGGGGTCTGTACCGATCAGAGCGCGCGCTGACACGGAGTAAAGCCTTGTTTATACTCGACGCATCCGCACGAGCACGAAGGTGCGGACGGCAAAAAAATGACGCGTTGGGTGCGCAAGACCGGCAAGACCCCATTTTGCTTGGCTGTGTGCACAGCTTTTTTTGTAACAGCGCGCGCGACGCCGCATCCGAGGATGAACGACTTCAAGCCGAATCTGCCCGAGCATGTACGTCTCACCGCACCGGCACGCAGTTTGCGCGTCTAAATTGCAAAGTTCATTGCAAAGTTTTTTTGTTAAGGTTTTGTTTACTGTGTGTGATTTATTTAAAACAAAGCACGTTCATTGCAACTTTTTTTTTTGTGTTAAGGATTCATTTAATGGAAAGCACATTCACTTCTAGTTGTCTTGCTGTTCATTTTAAATAAACGTAGAGCGAGTTGTCCCATAACAGACGAACAGTTATTCAACCGTTCGACTATCAGTCGACTACGGCAAAATCTAACGAATCAGATTCGACTATGAAAATCCTTAGTCGAAAACAGCCCTAAAAATTACCAAAATTGAGTTGGCCCAACTCAATTTAAATTTTCCAAAATTAAGTTGGCCCAACTCAATTTAAATTTTCCAAAATTGTTGAAATTTGTTCAAAATGTCAAACATCTATGTCTACATAGTCTAACATCAAAATGTTAATGTCTTCTGTAGATTTTGATCTTTATAAGTTGTTATGATAGGCCTATATTTTTAATGAAAACACAATAAAAAAAACAACAACTTTTTATTACCAAATATACTGTTAATAAGACGGGTGACCCAAAATACCCATATTATAACAAATAAATAAAAGATATTTGGAAATTGCCCTTTAAAACGATGGCTCAGTTTGTGGTCAACCGTTCACTATTATTTTATTGAAAACA